TGTAGTATAGATCGAGTTTAGGGGACATCTAAGCTTGTCCTTCAGATAGGAAGGTGGAAACCCCATGCTGTTTTTTGGTCACAGCTGGAAGCCCCAGGGATAATGACTGCTGTGGAGCTTATAGGTCAAGGTGAGACCTGCTGAAGACACCTGGGGAAACTAGTTTTCTTATCTGCCCCCTGTCTCTTCCTGTCCTTGTCTTTGTCCTTTCAGAATGCTTTGTCCTTTCAAGAATGTTTTGATCTTCCCAGCCTGCCATACTGTTTCTGGAAACACTCACTGCCCTTCACTCATTGTCCTTGACTTAGATGCAATGAATAAATAAATACCAAGAGTCTGGGTGCCTCGCGGTCTTTTGTTCCTAGAGAGCAGCTGGTCATCCCAAATCCCTGCTATACACCCCTCTATTTTTGTCTCTTGTTCTTTCTTTCCTTTCCAGCCATGTGCAGTAACCTGGGCAGGAGACCGGAACTCACTGCAGGAGGTCTCCAATAACTGGTACTCACTGAGGCCCGAACCCATGGCGTTCTCGCCTGCCTGGGGATTTACTAAGGTCTCCAATAAGCAAGTGCACAGATACTGACTGTGGCACTGCAGTTTGGAACTTGTCTTCTGTCACCTGGGCCGAACACAAATGGCAGCCCAGGCAGTGACAGATGGCTGGCCCCAAGAACTGACTGAGGGTGCCGCCACTCTGGCAGCAGCTCACGGTTGACACTAGATACTCCTGGTCCCAATGGGAAGACATTAGTGCAGAATGTACTGGCATAGGAGCCTCAGTTACCTGATTCTCTAGAGTTTGTCCCAGTGATTAGGTGAGGCTTGGATTTAGGTTGTCTCACAGTTGCCTGAAACTGTTGTTCATGTTTGTCTTCCATAGGTCTCTCCTGATATGGCACCAATGCCAAGAAGCTGTGGCAAGGTGCTAACCTGAGCGCAGGGCTTGTCCTCAGCTCTCTCTGTAGAATCTCCCCTTGCCTGGCCAGACCACAGGACTTGGCCACTGTGTGCCATCTTGGAGTACCTTTCTGCTACTCATAGTTCTGAACACATCCTCATATCTCTTGGACTTCACCCTTCTCTACCAGGAGCCATTTGTGCCAATGCAGTTTACCACTGAAATGTATACACTTTGGCTCATTGAAAGTTTCCACGTAGCTTGCCATTTATGAGATCCCTTCAGCATGCATGGAGAGAATATACTGGCTTTGGGGCTACTCTGCTTGGTCACTTCCTGGCTGTGTGACAGCTGAGCAAGTTATTTGACTTCTCCATGTTTCTATTTATTTTGGAATGGGGCAAAAATAGTATTTACTGCATAGGGTTTTTGGAGAATGTTATGGTTTGTCTGTGTGTCCCCCCAAAGCCTCATGAGGTCTTGGGGCAGGCTTTTAGAGTTTGATTGATTATGGGTGTGAGAGCTACACCCGCCCTGGGGTGTATAGTTTGCATATGTAAGGGAGAGGAAGAGGCTGCTTGTGGACATTCCTCCCTTGTGTGTTTGTTGCTTTTGCTGTGTTCTGCCGCCATGAGCTGTAGCCCTCTGTCATGTGCCAGTCTGCCTTGTAACCTGCCAAGTATGGACTGAAACCTCCACAAACTGTAAGCAAAATAAACCTTTCCTTCCTTAATTTTGGGTGTCAGGTATTTTGTCCCAGCAACGAGAGAAAAGTAACCAAGACAGAGAAATGAGTTAGTCTACGGTCTATATTTGTTCCACAGTCAACTCAATTAATGGATTTATGGTGCTATTTAAATACTGATCTCCTAATTTGGAGTTCTTTTCCTTGGCCCAACATGATTTGCTAGTTTGACACCATAGGTCAATATGGGGAATATTGAGTTGTGGAGGATCTGGGGAAGGTGGATGGATGGGAAAAACCCATTAAAATTGGCGGGAAGAAATGCCTCACTGGGAAGCACCAAATGCGGCTGGCTGTGAATTTTCAAGCCATTGGTGGCTGGCTTGGTTCTCACCATCTGCATGTGAGCTTTACGTTGCTACTTAGCTCATCAATTTTTGAATATCTGAGTTACTTGAGAGTGATTATTTAAGGCAAAATGCTGAAAGTAAAAGCAAAATCAAGCAGAATCTCAGTGCTTTTAAAAACTTGTGGCCATTTTTTGTCTTTAAAAGCTCTGAGTTGACTTTTACAAGAGATTGTAGAATAATCTAATAGAAAATGGAAACCAAGAGCACAACCATCCCCTTAAATATTTTATGCTGCGTTGGATATGCGTTGTTCAAAGATCATTTCCTTGACATTTTCTGGGGGTATATTTCTTGAGAAATAAAATAAATATGTTTGGTTGATGCTCAGACCAATTTACTTAGAGGTATAAATAAGATAGAGATGCCTCCTGTCATTTGCACTAGAAAGTTTAAGGATCAGAGGAATATCTTCAGAGGACAGGGCAAAGGACTAATCAGAGCGTTCAGATTATACTGAGCTTAGCTGACTCTTTAAGCTGTTTAGCTGATCTTGTCACAAATTCCCATTAACAATGGGCCAGAGGGTTCCTGTGGCCAACGCCTATGCCAGAGAGGAGCCAGAGTGTTCCGAGTCATGCAGTTCATTCAGGGCAGCTGAGTGACTGAATTGGATTTTCTAGCTTGCTAGTCTCCGCAAGTCACACAACATTTCCACCTGTTCATGTAGACTATAAGGTAGCTGGATCACTCTGAGTGCCCCTGTGAGGACAGAAAGGACTCTTCAGCTGCCTGAAGTCCAGGCATTCTTCTCGAAGTCTGAAATACTTGTGTGCGACTCCTGGAGGGAGCAGGAGAGGAACTCCTTTGTTGCTGTTCCTTAGCCATCAATCTGCTCACACAGCAGGTCTACCGAATCATTGCACTGCTGCTGTGGGAGACAAGAAGGGACTGGCTTCACATAAGAAGTCGTTGGGAAGGAAGGAGCACACAGGTGTGGACAACCAATCACAGAACTCAATATGCGACTTTAGAGCAAATGGGGGAAATCCTGGAAAGATGCTAGAAGTTTGGAGAAGAGGCCACCAACTCTGGCTTCAGGGAGGCAAATAGGCCAAGCAAGGCATAGAGGATGCGGTGACATCTCCTGGCTATGGAGAGACGGCAACGTGTCTATGGCAACAGGAGGTGCAGGGGTGGGACCAAGGGAAGCACTTTCAAATACAGGAACAACCTGCAAGCCCCTTGAGAGACTGCTGGATGAAGAGAATGCATATGCACACACAATCAAATATTAGCATTAAAAAAGGGGAATTCTGCCATCTGTGACAACATGGATGAATTGGAAAGATAGGCTAGGTGCAAGAAGCTAGGCACAGAAAAGAAATACGGTGCAATCTCCCTTATATGTAGAGTCTAGAATAGCCAAACTCAGAGAAGATGAGAGCAGAGGGTTATTCACTAGGTTCTGGGAAGAGAGGAAGTCGGGGGTTGTTGCTCAAAGGGCAAAAAGTTTTAGTTATGTGAGATGAATGGGTTCTGAAGATCTAAGATACAGAAATGTAAGTATAGTTACCAGTGCTGTCCTGTATATTTGAAATTTGATTATAGAGTGAGTCTTAAAGTGTTCTACACACACACACACACACACACACATCCCAAAGTGATAACTTTGTGAAGTGATGGATGGATATATTAATTAACTTGATTGTGGTGATCATTTCACAGTGTGTATGCATAGCAAAACATCAAGTGATGCTCTTAAATGTACACCATTTTTTCATCAGTTGTATCTTAAAACTGCAGAGAAAAATACTACTAGGAGACAGAGAGAGAGAGAGAGAGAGAGAGAGAGAGAGAGAGAGAGAGAGAGAGAGAGATGGAAGCTGGGCGAGGTCAGCAGCAGGCCTGCCTCCTATGAGTTCAGGCTGGAGAGAACACGAGGCAGGGGGTGCTTTTTGAAATAAATGAAATCAGACTTGAAATACCTCATGAGTACACAATCTTTTAAAGAACTCTTATAAGTCCTTTTAAAGATGAGGAGAATCTATCATATAAATGCAGTGTAAACAATACATTTTAAATTCGGTTATCTTGTAACTTTAAATTTTGTATGTTGCTTGATTCCCTGAATTATGTGAGGAAAGTTAAACTCTCTTATGCCATCACCAAAATAGCATCACCCTTAAAAGTGCACAAGGTACTCAGGGAAGGAGAGATAAATATTTAGTAGGAGAAAGAACAGCACTGCTGTGTACTTATTTTATTTGGAGTTTTGCCTTAGAACTGAAAGCAAAGTTTTTATACCTCTTTAGCTTTTGTGTTAGTGTGCTAGGATCCAAGTCATGTCAGGAATTGGGGAGATTTTTTTATTTGCAGTCACTGGTCTGAAGAACAATACAGTGGTGATGGTTTATGAACTCGAGATGCCCAGGATGGCTGTTCTGTGGCTTGCAAGCTGGAACTCACTTTCCCTGAGGTTTTAATTCCTAAATCAGAGCCAAGCTCAGGGTCCCGTTGGACTCAGTGCCCTTGGGCAGTCACTTCCAACTCGACTTGCTGTCAAATGGAACCCACTTGACTCTTGGCTTTGAGTGCAAGACTGGTTCTTACACTTTAAAGGCATCAGAAGTGCCTGGAATACCTGTTCCAACACAGGAACACAGATCCTGGGTCCCAGCCAGTCTGATTTAGTAGATCTGTGGTGGAGCCTGAGAATTTGCTGCTGATGCTGCTGGGCTGGTAACCATACTTTGAGAGGCACCATCCTGAATTTTAACACAGCAGTCACTCCTTCTCATTGAGAAATATGTTCCAAGATCCCCAGTAGATGGCTAAAACCACAGATAGCACTAAAGATACTGTGATAAATACTATGTTCTTTCCTATAGTTTTTTTCAACTAGATACAATTGCATAGATATGTCTTTCCATAGATACATTTTATTCCATATGGATACCTATGATAAAGTTTAATTTATAAATTAGGCACAGTAAGAGAAACAACATTAACTAATAATAAAATAGAACAATTATAACAGTATCTGTGGTAAGACTGGCAACCAACATCACTATTCTCGTGCTTTGCAACCATTACTGAGTCCTGTAACAATCTCCTTGGAACAGTCACAGCAGACCTGCTCACCAAGACCTGAGTGGATGCTGTATACAGCATGGACACGCTGGACAGAGAGATGATTTGCATCCTGCGCACGGTGTCTCTCCAGAACGGTGTGCCATTTAAAACCTGTGACTTGTTCAGCAATGGAATTTTCCACTTCATATTTTGGGATGTTGGTTGACCATGGGTAGTAGACTGAGGAGAGAACCACAGTTAAGGGGTGAGAACGGTACATCAGCAAACAGCAGCTCCCTTCCCCATTTGAATGAGGTTAGGGGACAAAGAGTTTAAAGTTTCTTATGAGTTCTCTCACTTCCTTGTTCTCTGTAGTTTTTCCTTTTGATTCCCTAACTAGAATTTTTACATAACATGCTTTTTGATGTTCCTGTGACCGTAGTGCCTTAGTCAAAATTTAAGTTAAGTTTCCATAATATGACAAGAGAAGCTTGGGGTTTTAGAAAGAGCTGGTGGGTTTTCAGGGTAAAGAGGGACATGCCGGGTATTTGTTCTTCAAGGGGTGGAACTCATGCCACTGTAGCTGGTTATGGAAAGCCGAGACAATGTTAACAAGAATGACAGAAGTGTGATCAAACAATATGGTGAATATTTAAATTAAAGAGGTTGATTCCAGTACAAGATACATTGCTATTAATCCCCCTGAAATACTTCCCCTTGCTTTGAACATACAAATCCCATCATCCTTGCCACTTTCTGAAGCAATTCTGGAAGTTCTCTTCCACGAGTATCTTTGGTTGCCATAGTCCTGGCTGCTTCAATGTCCTGAATCCATTTAAAGCATTTGTCTTTCACCGTCATTTCGACTGTGGGGAAGTCAGAAGTCACACAGTGCCCGATTCAACAGATAAGGTGTATGAGAACACACTGTAATGTTGATACGAGGCTGCCTTTCCATTGGGACCACTATATTTTTGAACCTAAAGACATTAATGAAAGAGGATTTCCAGAACTGCATCAGAACATGGCAAGAGGGATGGGACAAGTGTGTTCAAAATGAGTTGGAGAATTTTGAGGGGGAATTGGCAGTATTATGTCTTTTACTATAGTAAGTTTTTAAAAATTTAGACCCACACCATAGTTTTTGTTCAGCTGTTGTTTGCTTGGGCTGCCCTATTAAAGTGCCACTCATTGGATAGCTTATACAGCAGATATGCGTTGTCTCTCACTTCTGGAGAGTTGATATCTAAGAGCCAGGTGTCTTCGGGGTTTGTTCTTTCTGTGGCTGTGAGGGGAGGTTTGTCCATGGCTTGGCCATGGCTCCTGGTTGTTTGCTGGTGGTTTTTGGTGCTCCTCAGCCTGCTGTAGCATCACCCCAGTCCCTGTCTTCATCTTCACATGGTTTCTCCCCGAGCCCGTCTCTTTTATTTTTTTGTTTTGTTTTCCGGTACCGGGAATCGAACTCATGACCTTGCGCTTGCCAGGCAGGCACTGTGCCACTGAGCTAAATCCCCAGCCCCGAGCCTGTCTCTTTTTATAACTGGAATATGACCCACCCTAGTGGCCATTGTCTTCTTTAACTACCCTATTTCTAGGTAAGGTTGTATTCGGGGTTGGAACTTTGACACATGAATTTTTGCATGCTAGGCAAGCACTTTACCACTGAGCTACATGCCCAGACTGACATAGGAATTTTCAAGGGACACAGTTCGGCCTGTGGGACCCTGAGCTTACTTACTACTAGCCTGAAGAGGCAGCAGGAGTAACCTGCAGGCATTGGTACCAGCAACCACCTCCCATGTCATTGTAGCGATCAGCCAGAGGTGCCACAGCACGCGCCTGAGGACACGCTCCCTCCATTTCCTGTCGTGTTCTGACTCGCACTTTGAGCTGTACTTTGAGATTTTACATCTCAGGCTGGCGAATCAGTTACTCCCCTCAGCTTGCAGAAAGAATTTCCTTGTGAAAAGGTGGGACCTTGTTGTAAACGATACTGCAATTAAGGGTCCTATTAACCCTTGACTCCAAGACAAAGGCTCCAGTCTTCCGAGGTGAGATGCCTGCCAAGCAGCTGCCAGGGAAAATAAAGGTAGTAAATCTGTCAGTGGTTTCAAGGTGTCTGGAGGGGCTGTGACTATTTGCAGTGCGGCTTTGATGCAGGCCAGGCCTGCCAAGGCTGGTTAGACGGCTTGTATTTTGATCTGAGGAGCTCTTGCTTGATTTCCTGTGGTGAATCTTTCTCTGTATCTGTCAAGAGGATTACCTTGTTCATTAATGTGTCACTAAAATTTAAAATGCCCCTTTTCTGCTTCTCAGGTAATTATTGCAGACAGGTTTTAGGTATATTGAGAAAAGTGAGTTTCTCAGCAGAACTAGATCCCTGAAGAATAGCGACGAGAAGTATGCTTGACTTTTAGCTCACTGGGTTCCTTAGGTGCTAGCTCATTTATTGCTGGGCGAAGATCTGCAGTGCACTTGTCTCTGCACCATTTTCTTTGCAAGGGCGTTCTGTTTGTTTTAGTAATTTCCGAGTCTGAGTCTTTGTGTATAAAATGCTAGCCTTTCATGAGGAGGGGATCACTCACCTTTGTTCCTTGAGCACCTCTTTCTTTTTGCCTCTGTCCTCCCACGTTCCCGTTCCTAGAGGTGCTGTCATCCTGGGCATCTGGTAGGCTGAGAACCCCAAAGCCCCACAGTGGTGGCCTTCTGACCTGTGACCCGGGGCTCTGCGAGCAGTGGAGAGTTGCTGACACTTGCTTCCAGCTTTTCTCTTCACCTCTTTTACCAGGTTATGACTTTCATTTTTATCATTAGACTCTTTATTATATTTTAAAGTTTCAATTATTAGAGCATATTGTACAAAGTAATGGGCTTCACTGTGACATTTCCATAGATACCTATAATTTGCTCTGAATGGGCTCGAGTCTTAATAGACTCTTTAAAAGAAATTCGTAGGATAAATAGAGTAAGTAAGACTTTCCTAGTCTTTCATCTCAAACTTTTGGGATGACTTGGAGAGCTCTATGTTGGCGTAGGTTTAAAAAAATTCCATCTTTTCATTGTACCATTTGGAAGTATTGCTCTGTCCTGCTGGAAAAGTACTGTTTGATTATGATTATGAAGTGAGGGGAACACGCTTCTCAGAAATGGCCTCCCGGGCATATCCGTGTGTCACTATTTAGGGTGGGAATGTCCCCCAAAGACCTCACAGACTCATGGGTGGGGCTGTTGGGAGGAGATTGAGTCACAGGGCATTACAGCTCCCTTGCTGTTAGGAGAGGGCACTGGAAGAGGTGTGTTACTGGGGGTGTGACCTGGAAGAGTGCATCTCCCTCCCCGGCTCCACTCTTCTCTGCTTCCTGGTGGCCACTGCATGAACAGCTCTCCTCTGCTCGGGCCTGCCCACCGTGCCCTCTCTGCTTGGGACCAGCTGACCATGGACTGAAGCTTTGGAAACGGTGAGCCGAATTCAATCTCTCCTCCTTTAATTGTGAGTGTGTCTCAGCAATGGGAAGGTGACCAAGCCACCGTATGTTACATGGGTAAGGACCCAAATCTTCTTTCAGGTGAGATGACCTAAAAGAAAGCCTCAAGATTCTTATATTCAGGTGCTCTTGGGATATGTCACCACCTCTTTAACTTCCTGCTTGTCTTTATAAGAATTCTTCAGAGAAATGACCATAAAAGTGTGTAACTCAATTAAGACCAAATTGTATCCATTTTAGAATGATTGGCACACATGGTTTTTATGGCTTCCTTGGGAAAATAGTTTAGGTTACTATTGTAGTCAATGGTTTGCAAGGGAATAGATTTAATACAGGACACATACATTTATGGGATTATCTTATTCACCCAAAAAGTCAAATGCAGAAGAGTGCAAGAGATCTTTCTACACATGAGAGACCCAAAGAATCCAGCCGAGGGCTTAGATCTTCCACAAGTCCAGCCAGACGCTTAGAGTCCAGGGCAATGTCTCCTGCAAGTCTGCATCAAGGATCTGCACCTGGAAGTCCCAAATGTCTGTGGTGGAAGCTAGAGAGTCTGCCAGGGAGAAGGCAGAGGCATCTGCACTGGAGCCGGGAAGTGACACTCAGACGAAGAGCAAATTTCCTAGAAGAGAGCAGCAGCCATTGCTGGGTGACAGCATGGACCAGAGCTTCTCCTCTGGTGGCAAGAGCCACGGTCGTATCAGGAAAACAGGCCACAGCAAAGGGAAATCAGCAGCTCACAATCTTCTCCTCCCATTCTCCTGCTATGCCATTCAGGCAACAGTCCTTAGGCGGGTCTTCCACCCTTAGAATCTCCTGACTCAGTTCACCTGGGCGTTCTCACTGAAACTGACCATAATTAATCCAGCACAATTACTGTCGTGTAAATGATTTGGCAATGATAGTTCAGTAGTAAATTAATTTTTTTGAGACAGGGTCTCACAATGTAGTCCATGCTGGACTTGATCTCACATCATCCTCCTGCCTCAGCTTCCCAAGTGCTGGGACTACAGGCATGTGCCAACATGCCCAGTAACAGTAAATTAATTTCAGCAACCTTTTCTCATTAGTAATTGATTTAAATGCCATTTAGTCAATATCTTCTGCAAACTCTTTGGTTTTAAGGAAGTGACTCAGTTGTATTACTTTAAGTATTTGAGATTTTCTTGTAAGATGCACATGGGAGTCTAGGATGGGTTCCCCAGCCATGCTCTTGTGTTCTTATTCCCTTCTGTTCCTCAGCCTTTGAAGCCCCACAGCACCATCTCCTAGGCATGTCTGCAGGCTCAGAGAGCACTGCATCTTAAAGCACAAATTATGAAACCAACTATAAATTTCCAACTCTAAATTGCATCTCACTGTCCTTTTCTGAGTTATGCATTTTCCACAACTCCTACGACTGGGATTCCATGTGAGGTCATTTGCCAACCTGGTGATTTATTCCTTGGCCAAGTGTTCATATCTGGCTGTACCACCTTTGGTGAAGGGAGAGTTCAGGTCCCCACATGCGACTCCTTCAAGCTCTCTCTTCTGCAGAGTTCAGGCATCATTTGGATCCACGTGGCTGGAATCCAGTCCGGGGTATTTGCAGTGGAGGAATGCGAGAAAGTGCTTTCAAGGTGATTTCTGCTCTGATTCCCTTTCATAAAGAAAATAGACATTCAGAGACTTTCGTTAGAACCTGCCTTCAGAAAGGGAGGAGATCATGTGCTCCAGAAGGGAAAAGAGAAGTGAAGATGTTTTTCAGAGCTGGAAAATAAGCTGTGGTGACTTAGGGTTGATAGTAGCCAGAAGCTGGCCCTCGAAGTGAAGCGAAGCCCATCTGCAAGATTGCTGCAGTCTCTGGCTGGTGATCAAAGGACACAGCCCTGGTTAGGGAGTCTGGACTCCTGCAAACATGACCATGCCACAGTAAGGGGCTCTTAACAGAAACTGTCAACCTTTTGGCCTTTAAATGAAGGGAGTTTAGAACTTAGAAATTAGAGTTAAGGGCAGTTTCCCCATTTTTGCAGCACACACTAGACCTTTGGTTTGTGTCCACTGGTGTTCTCCTTGTTTGTGGAGAATGATTTATTTCTTCATTCTGGTTTATTCTTAAACCATCCCTTGGGGTAGAGCTTGCCTAGGTGTAGACGGATCTACTACCTTGTTGGACTTCTGCTCTGGTTCCTTTGCGGTACCTGGTCATGGTGGAGATACCACAATAGAATAATGAAGTGACACCTACATTTTTCCGAGGACTGTCTCGTAGGTAAACAGTGAAATTCCTCTTGGTGTAAGCCTTGCATTGGTCCTTGTAATAAGGAACTCCAGTTTCAATCATAACACTTTCAGCGGCTCATCCTCCTATGAGATGTGCGAGGTAATTGGCTGAGGGCTATCTTCTCATTACTTTGGGCAAATTAAGAGAACACCTTGGAGAAGCCATCGCTGAGCGCTGACTCCGGGCAGAGTTAATAAGCTGTTCTCGTCATCCGTGTTCTTCCCTGCTGTTTGAATTGTGTGGCTGGTGGCGCCGGTGTTGGCAGCAGAAAGAAATATGATGTTCGGCTAATGGCTTGAGAAGGGGAAGGAAGGACTTGGGGTCACTGGTGGCACATTTCATTTTGAGCTGAGCCAAAGGAGATTAATGCTGTCACTTGCTTGATTAGCATTGCTACTCGCCTGGCTCTGGACTTCGAAATGTATTAATTCCGAGAGAGCAGCTCGCATCAAATTGTCTGGTCCACACTGACCACTAACCTTGTAAAACACTGGAGGAGCTGTGAGACCCTAGGAGCTGTTTACTGTTTTTGACAAAAGCTTTCAATATAGGGCTAAATTGCTTAAGCTTGAGTCTTCAAGGTAATTAGTGTTTTGAGTCTCAAGGTAAAGTTCTTAGCAGAATTCTAGAGCAAGCCTTCCATCTGTTCAGCAGTTTACATGCCTTTATTCATGTGAATGTGGGGAAATTTCTTGTGATGAGAACCTTCCTAAGTGCATCACTGTGATGTGGATAGGTGATGTGCTCTCAGAGTCAGAACTCCTCTGTGCTTGGGCATTTAAATGCTCAATACACCACCCCACTTGGCTCAGAATGAGCTGGGGTTGCGTGTCTTTCGGGTTGAATCATGGCTTTTCTCAGATACAGTGAAAGCATTTTAGACCACCCACTTGCGAATGGATTGAGAGTAATTCTATATTTTGGGAAATTCGTGATCTTTGGAGTTGAAACCTCTGGGTCCTAACCCCAACCACAGTACTTAGTGATTTTTTAAACATAAAAACGTGCACAAATTGGAATAAATTATAATCACTGTCACCGACTACTGGAATACATAGTTTAAAAGCCTTTTGATACGTAGAGCTAACTTTTCCCTTAGAAAGGATTTGCCAATTTTCACTCCTACGCTTGTTCTGAAACTCACTGGATATTACCATTTAAATAATCCTACCCAGTGCATAGGAAAAAATTGTTCTGTAATGTTGCTCTAATGTGTGTTTCTTTGATTACTTGTGAAGTGAAGTGCACTGTTTTCATGTGTTTATTGGTCCTGTGCTGCTTCTTCTATGAACTGTTTGTGTTGGTTGCTGGTGTCCTTGCTGCCTTGTCCTCCCTCCATACAATGAAATAGCAGAGATGATAAAGAAATCACACTCGCTTTTGGAAGTTATGGCAATTTTGCAATAGTTCCTCATTTCTTTCCATGTAGGGCTCAGAGTGTTACGTGAACATGGTGCCTCTCTCTCTGTGAATGCCGCAGTGTTTGAACGTATTATTTGGCACGTAGAGTTTTTTCTCTAATGCCTTTTTTCCTTCTCTGTCACAGGAAGTTTCCTGAGTCATCCCCATCCTCCTTTTTCTTTTTATTTGGTCAGCTCATGAGACCTTTCACTGTGTCCTATTAAAACCACACAAAGTCTGCCTAAATGAAACCCATTAATCTGTGTAAGCACTAGGTACTAATAACAATTGTGGGAAAACCCCACACCTGCCTGGCCTTTCAGCAGATTAGCACGGTCCAGGTGACAGTGGCGTTCTCCTGCAAAGACCTGGGCATCACTCTTAGGCCCGCCCACCCCCGACCCCGGGCTCGGTTCTGGCTTCATGGGGCCACTAGACAGCTGCTCCCTTGGTCTGAGTAGGAGGCTGTGGATGTTGAGAAATGCTGTCAAACAGCAAAGCGCACAGTGAGCAGGACTGAAATATAGAGAACTTCAGAAGAGGGCGTGCCCCCGAGAGGAGGAGTGTGTGGCTTTGTGTGGGACAAAAGTAGGTCCACGAAAGGGCATCATGGAAGAAGAATTGAGGCTAGATCGGAGAGCTGTGGTTTGATCAACTAGAAGAATGGGAAGTCCATGTGAGAAGTGGATCTTGGGAGGAAGGGGTGGTATTGGTCTTTGTTTTTTTTTTTTGAGACAGGTTATTGCTGTGTAGTTCAGGCTGACCTGGACTCACTATATAGCCCAGGTTGGCATCAAACTCAAGGTGATCCTCCTGCCTCAGCCTCCCAACTGCTGGGATCACAGGTGTGTGCTGCCACGCCCAGCTGGCATTGGTTTTTGGATGTTACATTTGAAATACTTAAAAATAGATGTTCAGTTGGATCCCACAGGCCACGTTTCTCAGTGTGTGGCTTTGGTACTGATCTCTTCAGGCCTGGAGGGCAGGCCTGGGCTGGCCCAGGTGGACAAAAACTTTCCTCAGTGGACCCAAATGGAATCATCAATCTCCGGTGACATGATGTAAAAAATCTTAGGAAGCTCTGCCCTAGGTCTTGCTTGCTGTAGATCTTTCTCATGACCTCTGCTTACATCCTCTCTATCTTCCTTCATCCGGTTTTCTCTCCCGTTCTCCACTCCTACCCTCCCTTCCTCCCTCCTTTCCTTCCTTCCTTCCTTCCTTCCTTCCTTCCTTCCTTCCTTCCTTCCTTCCTTCCTTCCTTCCTTCCTTCCTTCCTTCCTTCCTTCCATCCTTCCTTTGTTTCTTTGTTCCTTCCTCCCTTCCTCCCTCCCTTCATTCCTTTCTCTTTCTTTCCTTTCCCCATCCTTTCTTTCTTATTTTCTTCCTTCCTACCTTCCTTGCTTTCCTCCTTTCTCTTTGTTCTCTCCCCATCTCTCTCTCTCTCTCTCTCTCTCTCTCTCTCTCTCCCCTTTTGTTTTTTGCTTGCTGTGATTCTGGGGATGTAGCTGGAGCCTTTACACTGAGCTACATCCACAGACTCTAAAACATTTCTTTTTTTTGGTCAAGGTAATGTGGTGTGACTAAGTTGCACAGGTTAGGCTTACACTTGCAATTCTCCTGCCTCAGCCTCCCAGAGACTTGGAGTTATAGCAATGCACTACCATACTTGGTAGGAGGCCACATTTCTAAAACCAAGGAAATAGATGCTGTGCTAGGATAGTAAGAGGTCAAACTGCCGCTAGGTGAGAGGAGGACAAAAGCAATTTGGCAGAGCTGCTGAGCTCAGATAAAAGGACTCCAGAGAGAAAAGGCTGAGATTTCTGCTTTTAAGATACAGCAATGAGTACCACACACAAAGCCAGCAGCACAATAGCTTGGCAACATCTTTGCAAGAAATTTATTTGGAGGAAAGCAGGCATTGGTTATGTGTTTAGAATGCTTTATTATACTTTGCAGTTTTACTTAGTTTCACCTCTTGGTAATATTAAATACACAAACTTTAGTCATACCTTTGTAGTTATTAACTATTAACTAGCACTCTCAGAGCAAAGATACATGAAATGGAATCACAGTTTGGTATCTGAGAACCAAAATGTCCCTGGATTTCTCCCTAGATGCTTGAAGTTGCTCCCACTCTCCCTGCCCACCTGCAGGAACACACATCCTGGGTTCACAGAGCAGGTATTTGCTGAGTAGCAGGTGTGAGGAGGACAAGAGTGCGTCTCCCGTGTTCCTTCCCCAACAGGAGCAGGGCTCACCTCCAGGACACTGTGCCCTTCCCAGAGCTGCCTACCGGAAGGAGGGAACGTGGGATATGTACAGGAAGGGGGGCTGCTGCTTTGTTCCCTGGGAATCAGGTCCAAGCCCTGGGAAGACACAGAGCACTCTCATTCCCACAGCCGAGAAGACACATGCACCACCAGGTCTTCTGAAGCAACTTCTCTGTGAGTTGCTTGTCTGGGATTTGAACATCAGAATTTGAATCCTTGAAACTGGTGATTGGCAAATCTAAATCTAACACAGTTTAAACATCAGCACACAGGAATTCAAATTAACAATTAAATTTAAGAAGATCTTTTATTTAATTTACTTTTTTTGAAAGCAAAGTGGCTTTGAATTTACTTGGAAACATACATGAACCTCTTAGTTTCCCAAATCATCAGCCAGCCCAGCAGAAAATGTACCTCTGAGGTAAAGCAGATGGGGAAGCCCCCGGCCCTCCCACCTACCGGTGTTGCCACACTGGGAAGACAGGCCACGTGGTAGAGGGATGAAACCACCATCAGCCATTGGAAAGGACCTAAAGCCAAGTGCCCAAGCATATAATAAAACACCTCTGCAAGCCATTGTCTGTCCCAGATGCAACATTAGGGTAGATGGAAAAGGAGCCTTCAGATCTCAACTCCTCTCTCTTCTTCTGCTGCTTTTCTTCCACCTATCACCCTTTTCATCATTTGCTACCAAGGGTTGGTGTGACATCTAGGTTCTGTGCATGATGGACACAGTGAACATGCTCATAGGGATCTAGAAGGGCTCCTTGTCCTCAAACTTCTTTCCAGTCTAAGAAGGGCTTTTTTAAAAAATCTGTGACTCTAACAAAAAGGACAGAAATCTGCACATAGACAAGGGAGGAACAGCCAGCCCATTTGAGTCAGATAAATGTGGACCTCTGTGGACCTCTTTCTGGTCCACAGAGGACCAGACATCCTACTGACAGCGGTGCTGCAGAATTCTGTGTGTTTCTGACATCACAAGTTCAAGCAAGTGTTTCTCTTCCTCTCCAAGATGTTCAACTTTGAGAGAATTGTGGTTTCTCCTGCACCTGGAAGACATCATGCACCTAGATCCCCGTACTGTTTATCTTGCAAGGTGGGGGTTCCCTATCATAGCCAGAACTCTGACAAAGATGTAATTCACTGACATTTGTTGTGCTTTACAGATCAATGTACCATTTTCTGAAGGTAGAAAATCTCTAATGATGCCTTGGAATGCATGGGCTACAGCGATGAACAGTACATTTATGGACAGGATGATTTTGAGTGAGTGGGGGGAGACAGACACAGGGAAGCCATTGACTCCTAGATCCTATCTACTGGTACAAATCCTTCTCACTGACGGCACTGACCACAGAGCAGGAACTTCTTTGCATTTTCTTTCAGTTTAGAGTTCCCTAAAACTAAGATGACAGAGTGTACAGATGGGTAAGTGCCACCCACCAAGGTGCAGAAGGCAAAAAGGAAGCTTCCAAACTGCAATACTTGAAAAAAGAACAATATGGTTACCATGTAGTGGGAGGAGTAGAGGATTAGGAAGGACAGGATGGACAGCACTGCCCTGATGGGGGCGCCCCTGCGGGGGTCCCGGATTCCCACATCAATGGTTCTCATCTGCTGGGCATGTCTCCCCAGGGAGAAAATCAAGAGCAGAGCAGCAATGAGGAAGATAATTAATGGCACCGTAATATGAAAAATCAAAATAGAAAGTGATACAATGTCTATTCCTTTGATCTGCGTTGCATTTTTGGAGAAAAAGTTGACCAAAAATTCTTGGGTAATAGTCCATGCAGGTTTTGCCTGGATGCCAGTACTGACAGACACGTACAGCGTAGACCCCAGGATCAGCCAGGGCACCAACTTGGAAATCCTCATCTTCAGCCAGAAGAACAGTGGGTGCGGGATGGTGGCGATCTTGGTGCAGTAGAAAACACCCAGCCACGTGGCCAACCAAAGGCCCCAAATATTTACAAATATGAAAAGAATATGAAGCTCAGCAAGTACTGAATCTTTCATGAAGGAGAGAAGAACCAAGTGCACAAGGAGGTTGAGCAACTGGAGACAAATCCTGGAAATCGCCAGGCAGGAAGTGAGCAGATCCAGAGGAGCCATTTGTCTCTGCCTGATGAAGTCCACCACATTCACCACCACGATGAAGCCATTTACAAAGACCCCAGTAAGAAATTGTGTCACTGCTGCAAGAAAATGGATAATGAGGAGGTGCATTAGCATGTTGGGAGGAGGAAAATCAGTCACTTCTTTCTAGGTTTATAGGTTTCCAGACAGCTTCAGGCATTCATGTTCTCTGCTCTTCTTCAGCTAGAGCAGAACCCCTTTGAGGAGCATGATCTTAATCATGAAGGCTACGGAGTAGGAAGGCAGTGTGCATGTGTTTTTATCTCTGCTGTTTCAGTTTAGTTCTGAGACATTCAAATAAGCAAGAGATAGTTCAGCAAAAATTTGCTTCTTGCTGATGCTTTTTGCATTGTCTAGTTCTTCTTAGCTTGCACGGTTCCCATAAGCAAATACTGGAACTGGATACCTTCAGATGACTGCTAAGAGCCTTCTCAGCTGGAGAACCAGCCAGAGCTCCTCAGCCTTCATCTCCACTACGAGTAACTATTTGTGCCACACCTGAGATCAACTTCACATTGTCAAGGTGTTCTTCAACCTCCCCAGTTTTTTTTTTTTAAAGATAACTTCCACTATCATTATGTCCCATGGCCAGCGAAGTATGACTCTCATGTAGTAATTCTCTAATGTACAAAGCCTGAGAAAATCAAGACCTAAATTTCTTCCCCCCCCCCCCTCCGGTACTGGGAACCAAAAGACCTAAATTTCAAAGTAGCTATATAGTAAAATATACAGTACACAACACAGAGTATCACTCAGTATAAAAGCAAGGCAATAAGCATTCCAGGCATCAGAGACAACGGAGCAATAGCCCAGCGTGAGCCTGAATGAGCGCATTTACTGTTGGGAGATATTTAGAATTTCCATGTTCATTATTTTAATATGCATATGGTTGCAATACTCCCATTTTAAATGTCTGTATATAGGGTAGGGTCAGAAAGGACCTTCTGGAGGGTAGAAGACCCAGGTCCTTTTTAGAGGGTGGCAAATGCAGGCTTTGTGTGTGTATAAGCACCAAACTATTTCCAAACAACTTTGTGATTTTGAGCTGAAAGCCTGTAACACTTGTGTCTCTGTAAGCTACTACCCCACCTAAAATTTCTCTTCCAGTAGGTGATGTCTGCAAAATAATCTGCTCTGAAAAATTCCACTATAGCCCACAAGACTGAACCCCTAGCCGCAAGCCCAGTATCCCATCAATCAAGAGTCTCAGGAGCGGGTAGTCAGGACCCTACCCCATAAAACAGGGCTGCTGCCCCAGATTTGGGCATTGTTGCAGGTCTGAGCACCCACTCCTTCATGGGGGTGGCTTCCTAATGATTCCTGCATCACCTACAAGAAAAGTACCTTCACTTTGCACTGGCCTTCCTGGCTCCTCTTCCTCTCTCCATGTCAGAGAGAGACTGGCCAGCGAGGACGCGTCTGCTGACTGCTGACCCCAGGCCCACCGGACCTAATAATAGAAGCGCTCAGACTTGGACTTCCCAGGTGAAGTCACCACCTTCAGTCATGGCAGACTGTGGAGAGCTCCTGGGTCGGGCACTGAAGGACTCAGGTCACCCTGGACAGTGCACAGCTTTGGGGCTGCTCCTGAAATGCAAAGAGCTGTGCCTCCAGGTACCTCTTCAGGAAGGGGCTGACTCCTGGCCCTATCTGTGTTCCAAAGCCCTCTCTGGAAGCCAGGCTGACAGCCTTGACCTCCTGGGGCCCAGGGCATGGAGGCCAGGTGGACAACACAGGACATCTTCTGGCTTCAGACCAGTGAGGTCCAGGCCTGTGCTGTCCTATCTCATCCTGTCACTTTCTGCAGACCAGGGAGTTACCGGGACACATTTTTCTTGGCTCACAGTTCTGGTCCCAGGGCAGGGCTGCACCTGCTTCTGGGTAGCAGGGGAGAGAGGGTGAGAGCACAGCTGTGTCTGCTCCATGCCCAGCCCTCTTCTGAAGCCACCTGGGTTCATCATGGGCCCCTCTCAGATGACTCACCCCACTGTAAACACTCTCAAACCTTCCTTTCTAAACAGCAGAGGGCATTAAATTTTTTCCTTCTCATTCCCCAAAGTTCCGCACAGCCACCTTGAGGGACACTCAAGCCAAGTCCAGACTACAGCCATCGCCCTTACTTCCCCTCTTATTTCCCTCCTTCTCTCCTTCCTTCCTTTCTTCCTTCCTTCTTCCCACTTCCTTCCTTTTTTCTTTCTTCTTTCTTTGTCTCTTATCATTTCTTTCTTTTTTCCTGCCTATCTTACTTTCTCTCCTCCTGTCTTTGTGTTCTCTCTCTCTTTCTCTCTCTCTCTCTCTCTCTCTCTCTCTCTCTCTCTCTCTCTCCCCTCTTTTCCCTTTTTGTTTCCCATCGTTCTGTGGATGTAACTGGGGCCTTTACAATGAGCCACATCTGAAATCTCTAAAATTTTTTTTCGTGAAGTTATTGCTCTGTGGCTAAGTTGCCCAGGCTAGGCTCACACATGCAGTCCTCCTGCCTCAGCCTCCCAGAGTCCTGAAATTATAGGCATGCACTACCAGGCTTAGGTAGGAGGCCACATTAAAAGCAGAGGAATGGGTACTGTGCCAGGATAGGTAGAGGTCAAACTGCTGATGGATGAGGAAAGGACAAAAGCACTTTGGCAGGGCTGTTGAGTCCAGATAAAGTGGGCTCCAGAGAGACAAGGCTGAGATTCTTCTGCTCTTAAGATACAGCAATGAGTACTGTGCACAACATCCAGCAGCACAATAACTTGGCAACATTTCAGCAGGAAATTTATTTCAAGGAAAGCAGTCAGTGTCCATGCTTTTAGAATGCTTTATTATACTTTGTAGTTTTACTTTGTTACAAATCTTGGTAATATTAAAAGTATAACAATTTAGTCATACCTTCCGAGTTATGGTATTAAGGAGTATTATGAGAGCAAAGCTACATGAAATTGAAGCACAGTTTGATATCTGATAAACAAAGTCCTCCTGGGTTTTCCCCTGGATGCTTGAAGTTGCTCCCACTCTCTCTACCTACCTGCAGGAACACACCTCCTGGCTTCAAAGAGCAAGTATTTGCTGAACAGCAGATGTGAGAAGAACAGAGTTCTCTCTCTCTTTCTCTCTCTCTCTCTCCCCCATTCTCTCTCTTTCTCTCTCTCTCTCTTCTACTGACATATATGTAACCCAAAGGCATTTTTTTGTATGTTACAGGTCAATGTCACTTTTTGTGAAGGTGGAAAATCTATAACAGTGTCTCAGGATGCACAGGCTTTGATGTTGAACTATACATTTGTGAATAGAATATTTGCTAGGTGAGTGAGGGGAGACAGACACAGGGAAGCCATTGACTCCTAGATCCTTTCAACTGATACAAATCCTTCTCACTGACCGCACTGACCACAGAGCAGGAACTTCTTTGCGTTTTCTTTCAGTGTAGGATTTCCTACAATTAAGATGACAGAGTGTATAGAGGGGTAGGTGCCAGCCACGAAGATGCAGAACTCAAAGAGGAAGCTTCCAAACTGCAATGCTTGAAAAGCGAACAATATGGCCACCATGTAGTGGAAGAAGTAGAGCAGTAGAAAGGACAAGATGGACAGCATTGCCCTGATGGGAGCACCCCTGCGGGGGTCCTGGATTCCCATATCAATGGTTCTCATCTGCTGGGCATGTCTCCCCAGGGAGAAAATCAAGAGCAGAGCAGCAATGAGGAAGATAATTAATGGCACTGTCAGATGAAAAGCCAAAAGAGAAAGTGATACAATGTCTATTCCTTTGGTTTGAGTTGCATTTTTGGAGAAAAAGTTGATCAAAGCATTTTCGATAATAGTCCGTGCATGTTTTGCAAAGATGCCAGTACTGATGGATGCATACAGCACAGACTCCAGAATCAGCCACGGAACCAACTTGGAAATCCTCAGCTTCAGCCAGAACAACAGGGGGTTCTGGATGGTGGCAATCTTGGCACAGTAGAAAACGCCAAGCCACGTGGCCAACCAAACCTTCAAGGTGCTTACAAACATAAAACTTGTACTAAGCTCAGCGAGTATCGACTCTTTCATGAAGGAGAGATGAGCCAGATGTGCAAGGAAGACGAGCACCTGCAGAGTAATCCTTGAAGTCCCCAGGCAGGAAATGAGCAGATCCAGAGGAGCCATTTGTCTCTGCCTGATGAAGTCCACCAGATTCACCACCACGATGAAGCCACTGGTGAAGACCGCCATAAGAAATTTTGTCAGTGCCATAAGAAAATGGACAATGAGCTGATGTATTAGCATGTTGAAGGGAGGAAAATCTTCTTTAAAGATGTACAGATTTTCAGACAGTTTCAATCATTCACCCTCTTTGTTCTGCTTCACCTAGAGCAGGACCGCTTTGAGGAGCAAGATCCTAATCATGGAGGCGATAGAGTAGGAAGGCAGTGTGCGTTTGTTTATGTCAGTGCTGTCTCAGTTTAGTTCCGAGACATTCAAATAAGCAAGAGATAGTTCAGCACTAATTTGCTTCTTGCTGATGGCTTTTGCATTTTCTGGTTCTTCTTTGCTTCCGTGGTACCCAAAAGCAAATAGTGGAACTGGATACCTTCAGATGACTGCTGAGAGCCTTCTCAGCTGGAGAACCAGCCAGAGCTCCTCAACCTTCACCTCCACCATGTGCAACTTAGCTGTGTCCAGAGCTGGGACTCTATTGCACATTATCAAGGTGTTCTTCAAAAAACACTTTAAAGAAAAAGATCACTTCTGGTATTATTATGCCCCAGGGCCAGGAATGTAAGACTTCCACGTAGTTATTCTCTAATGTACAAGGGCTGAGAAAATCAAGACCTTCTAAAATTTAAAATACTTATGTAATAAAAAAATAGAACAACAGGAAGTATCACTCAGTATAAAAGCAAGGCAATAGGGGTTACATGTGTGTGTCGACACTCTCCCAGAACTCCACTGTGAGAGCAAATGAGGGCAGTTATTGTAGGGAGATATTTAGAACTGTAGTGTTCATTATTTTAATATTCAAATTGCTTCAATACTCATATTTTAAATGTTCTTATATAGTATAGCATGAGAAGGGAACCCTCAGGAGAGTGAAAGACCCAGGCCCTTTTTAGAGAGTGGAAAATACAGGCTCTGTGTGGCTATGAGCACCAAACAATTTCCAAGCAGCTTTGCAGTTTGAAGCTGAGAGAGAGTCACATTTGTGTCTGTGTAATCTACACCCCCTCTTACTTTCCTTTCCAGTAGGTAACGTCCCTAGCACAAGCTGCTCTGCAAAATTTCCCTAGAGTTCACAAGAGTGATCCCCTAGCCAAAAGCCTAATGTCCAATTTATCAAGTGTGGATGCTCAGGAGGGTGGAATAGGGACCCCTACTCTATAAAATATGACCGTTGCCCCAGATTTGGTGGTTGCAGTTCTGAGCACCGCACTCCTTCCCAGGGGTGGTTTTGTATCACTTCCTGTAATACCTACAAGAAAACTACTTTGGCTTTGCCCTGGTCTTGCCTGACTCCTCTTCCTCTATCTACATTTGAGAGTAAGATCATCTTGGTGAGGGTGTGTCTGCTGACCCCTGACCCCAGGCCCACTGGACCTAACAATAGAAGCGCTCAAGCATAGACTTGCCAGGTGATATCACCACCTTTATTCATGGCAGACTGTGGAGAGCTCCTGGGTCGGGCACTGAAGGACTCAGGTCACCCTGGACAGTGCACAGCTTTGGGGCTGCTCCTGAAATGCAAAGAGCTGTGCCTCCAGGTGCCTCTTCAGGAAGGGGTTGCCTCCTGGCCCTATCTGTGTTCCAAAGCCCTCTCTGGAAGCCAGGCTGACAGCCTTGACCTTCTAGGGCCCAGGGCATGGAGGGCAGGTGGACAGCACAGGACATCTCCTGGCCTCAGAGCTGGTGAAGTCTATTCCAGTCTTGTCCTGTCTCATCTGTCACCTTAGAGCAGACTAGGAAGTTGCCAGGACACAGGTTTTTTTGGCTCAGGGGTCTGGTCAAGGGTAGGGCTGCTTCTGCTTCTGGGAAGCAAGGGAGAAATGGGAAGAGCACACCTGTGTGTCTTACTTACTTTTCTCTCATTGATGAGACAAAATAACTGAGACACAAAATTAAGGAAGGAAAGGTTTACTTAGCTTACTTTTCATGGAGGTTTCAGTCCATACTCAGCTGGTTCCAAGGCAGAGTGGCACATGGCAAGGGCAGCTATTCACGGCAGCAGAAAACAGCAAAAGCAACAAGAACATCACAGAGGAGGGGTGGCAGGCAGCCTCTTTCCCTTCCTTACACTGTATGCAAACTATCTGCCCCAGGGCAGGTGTAGCACTCACATCCATAGTTCCAATATTGGACCATAAATCAATCATAAACTCTAGAAACCCACTCCATGACTGCATGAGGCTTTGGAGGGACATCCTGACACAAACCATAACATTCCACCCCTGGTCCCCAAAGACTCACCCATGTCCCTTTATACAAAAGACATTTAGTCCACCTGCAAGAGTTGCCAAAGTCCTAACAATTTCAACACTGCTGCAAGTCCGAGTCCCAAGTGACCTCCAAGATGTAAGCAAACTCTTAGTTGCAAGGCCCTGTACAAATGAAAAGTTAAACACTTCCAACATTCAATGGCATAAAATAAACATTACTATTCCAAAAGGTACAAACAGAAGGATACAAAGCATTGGGACCAAAGCAAATCCAAAATCCAGCAGGAAAAATATTAAGTCCTTTAGTTCCACGTCCAGCATCTGAGCCAATCTGTGGCACATTGTGAGCTCCAAAGGGTCTGCACGACTCCACCCCTATGGCACTGTGGTTACAGCTCCCACAGCTTCTCTCTTAGGCCCATTTTGCTCCCTCCTTGCAGCTTTCCTTAGATGATCCACATTCCTGACTTTTCCAAACTTCTGGTGTCTCCAGTGCACCTTTTGCTTCACACTCACAGCTTTACACACTGCCCTCTCAGGGGCACACTGCCTGGCCTCCCACGCCTTCTTCTAAAATCGAGGTGTAAGCCTTCTTAACCTCAGAACTCTTGTATTCTGTATGCACCTAAAGCGAGTGCCATTTGGATGATCCCAAGGTCTACTGCCACCTGGAGCACTACCCAAGTTTTCCCCTCTCTTGGCCATAGGGGTCAAGTGCCAGGATCACTGGGCACTCTGAACCTGATTCTGAGGAAAAAATTCTCTATGCTGCTGCCATTCTGGAACATGGTGCTCTATGGCTTTCTTCTCAAAGCAAAGTCTTTCATTTTGCAGTTCTGAGGCTGCAAAAGGTGGAGACTTGCTGCTTGTGGTGCCCTCAGGCCATCTTTTCCATTCTCTTCTTCCTTCTCAGCAATGGAGATCTCCTCAGCTCTATTTTTGCAGTCTACAGCTTTACTGGAGCTTCCTTTCTGGCCAAGCTCACAACATTTTAAATCATCCTGCTGGGCTCTTTGCTCTTGATTCTCAACGTAAATCTGGGAAAAAGCCCCAGCTATAACCATGCCACTGCCTCAACATTTGACTGCCTTGAAATTTCTTCTGCCAGATTAATTAGTCCACCGCCCTTAATCTCAGTCTTAGGCAAAAATCTCTGGGCACAAGCAAAATGCAAACAAACTTTCTGCCAAGCCATAACACTTGTCATCTGGAGTCCAGAACCCAATGCAGTCGTTCCAAGCAGAAACCTCCTGAGCCTGGTCTTTACTGGCAGGATTTCTATCGGCCTTCTGGTCATCTGAGCTCTGACCAGAATCACCCATATAGAACAACCGAAGGCATTCCAGCTCTACTCTTTCAGGCAACATCTCCAAACCTTTCCAAACTCTTCCCACAAGCAATTCCCAAAGGGTCTTAAACCACATGGTCAGGTATAGTCACAGCAATGATCCCACTTCTCTGGTGCCAATTTTGCCTTGGTTACTTTTCTCTTGTTGCTGAGACAAAATACCTGACATCCAAAATTAAGGAAGGAAAGGTTTATTTAGCTCACTGTTCATGGAGGTTTCAGGCCATACTCAGCTGGTTCCAAGGTAGAGTGGCACATGGCAGAAGGCAACAGTTCATGGCGGCAGAAAACAGCAAAAGCAACAAGAACAACACGGAGGAAGGGTGGCAAGCAGCCTCTTTCCCTCCCTTACACTGTATGCAAACTATCTGCCCCAGGGCAGGTGTAGCACTCACATCCATAGTTCCAATATTGGACCATAAATCAATCATAAACTCTAGAAACCCACTCCATGACTGTATGAGGCTTTGGGGGGACATCCTGACACAAACCATAACACTGTGTCTGCTGGCCCTCTCCTGGCCCTCTCCTCTTGAAGCCACCAGGGTTCATCATGGGCCCCACTCTGATGACTCATTCTCATGTAAACATCTCCAAAGGTTCCTCTCTAAACAGAGGAGGGGATTAAGTTTCTTTCTTCTCATTCCCATAGTGAGAATGAACTTCAACACAGGCACCTCGAGGAACACTCAAGTCAGATCCAGACTATAGGAATCTCTGTAAACCTGCTCACGCCCTTTCTGCCTTCCTTCATCACTTTCTCCCTTCCTACCTTCCTTCCTTTATAGTTTCTCTTGTTCTTTCCTTCCCTGTCTTTCTCATATTTCCTTCCTTTCTCCCCTCCTACCTTCCTTAGTTCCTTTCTTTTTCTTTTTGTCTTTGTCTTTTTCCTCCCTCTCTCTGTCATTCTTTCTCTCTCTCTTCTCTCTTTTCCTTTTTGCTTCCTGTGGTCCTGGAGATTTAATCTGGATCCTTTAATCTGAGCTACATCCACAGCCTCTAAAGAGTTTTTTTTTTCAAGGTATTGCTATGTTGCTAAGATTCCCAGGCTAAGCTCACACTTGCAGTCCTCTTGCCTCAGTCTGACAGGGAGCTGAAATTATTGGCATGCACTACCATGCTTAGCTAACAGACACCATTTCTAAAAGCACAGGGTAGGGGCTGTGCTGAGCTAGGATAGATAGAGGTCAAACTGCTCCTAGATGAGAGAAGGACAAAAACTATTTGGCAGGCCTGCTGAGTCCTGATAAAGAGGGCTCCTGAGAGTCAAAGGCTGAGACTCTTCTGCTTTTCAGACACAGCAATGAGTGCTGCACACAACACCCAGCAGCACAATAGTTCGGAAACATTTCTGAAAGAAGTTTTTTTCTAGGAAAGCAGGCAGTGGTTATGTTTTTAGAGTGGTTTTGTTAAGATGTTTTCATTCTTTTATCTGTTAAATTAAAAAATAAAAAAATAAAAAATAGAATGGTTTGCTATACTCTATGGTTTTTCTTTGTTACAGCTCT